TGGATTTCTTTATGGCATGGGAAATTGTTTGCCATGTAACCCTGCTCTCCTACCTATAAGGCTGAACAAAACCCCTGAAACTTCCTGCTTTTGTACTTTATCCCTGGGAGTGTTCAGGTGTTTTCTCTCCATTCCAAGCCTCGCACATACAGCTTTTCATTCTCACATTCACGTTATTCAGAATTTGTACAGACAGACACAGATCCATAAAAGTACTTACAGACTTGCAAAATGGGATTTGCATGGAATTTAGGAGCCTCCATTCAAAATGCAAATCCTGAAAACTTCTACTCAGCTACTACTGAATGCTGGAGGTGCTAGCTTATATAGGTACCTTGTTTTGCACTTCAAAGCTTACAAGGCACTTAGGATTTGCCAATATCTCTGCGGCAAACACTCTTTGGGAGGAAAGGCTGAACACGATTCACCAAAGCTTGCAAATATACTCCAATATGTGAAAGTTTGCTAGTGATGCTCTGTGGCCTGACAGAGTTTGGTGCAACTTAACAGGCAGACTTCTATGTCTGAAGTATTCCTGTTGATTTTCAAGTGCAGCATATAACACCTAGGTTATGGGTTCAAATTGGCCTTAGGTAGCTGTTCAGCCCCAGCAGTACTCAGGGCAACTGGGAATTTTGTTACCTGTCAGCTCTGTATTCTTGGGGGAACCCTGGCACAGGATGCAGCCTGCCTGACTCACAAAGGACTCGCCACCCCTGAACAAGAACTGATTAGAGGAAGGACTTACAAGAGACAATGAAGATGCAGAAGGAGACGCACCCAAGTTCCTCCAGAGAAGGTTGTTAGGAGTGAAGCAACTCCCCTGACATCAGAGATGGAAACCGGATGACAGCTCATTTACATGGGAGATGTACCTTCATTAGCATTCAGAATGGAGAAGAGAGATTCCAAGGCAAGGACCACACTGAATTCTGGGACCAGGGAAGCACTGCATGATGGGGGATCTCTGCTCCAAATGCTAATCAAGTCTGTACACACCCAGCTCAGCATTTATCAGACCAATTCTAGTAATGACTCCTTTATTGGTACCCAAAACACTAAATCTGCCTGTCTGTATTGTGAGCTCCTTCGCAGTAATGCCACCCAGAGCCAGGAGTGATCAGGTTGTACTATCTAGCATGTGAGCCATCGTTTACCCATAAACAAACCTAGTGTTCTCCCCTGAGCCATTTTTAGTTCTCTACAAAAACCCCTACCCAAGCTCAGGTTTCTGTCCTGGTGCTTGGATCCAAAAGCTGCACCAGTTCCACCCCTTTTCTGCCTGGAATCCCTCCATTGATTGTGCTCACAACTCTGCCTGTCTGCAAGCTCCAGCAAACACCTGGGAACCTCGACTGGGTCAAGCTTCGCCGAGTGGTGAGACCCCAACTCTCTCTCTGTCCCTCTCCCCGTCCCTGTTCCTGGCCCAGCAGAGCACATCTGATAACAAGTCTAATATAAAAAGTGATAGATACCGATGACATTTAGGCAACAACTGAATGGGGTTTTTAAGATAGTCATTTTGATACAAGTCATTACTACAATGTACACTACTACTACTTCCTTCTGCTGCCACCATGTTTTAACCATGTTCCCTCTTAAAACTGGCCTCTTCCGGTTTATACAGAAAAGGGTATACCTGCCTTGAAGAACAGGTTTCTGAACTGAGGATCCCAAGAAGAGAGATGCTCCAAAGCCCCAGAAAGGATTGTTGTGCTTGACTTTCCCATTGACTAGGTTTGACTGCATCTTCAGTGTATCAGCAGTTTTGGATCTCATGCTGAGGCATGAAACTTTCCCCATGAGCTGTACAAGTAGTTTAGACCCTACTACTGGATTCTTGATTCCATGCTGGGACCTAGAAACCTGAAAGTTTGGTGCAGTCAAAGTTAGTCTCTATTCATGTAACTGTCCCTATGACTCACAAGTTTCTTTCCTGAATAGATTTTGTAAATATATCTGACACCATCTGTGGCAATTTGTTTTATTTTATTCAAGTTCAGTATCAACTACAATAGTCCTAACCCTGATGCATTTAAATCCATCAACGGCTCCTGACAGCTTTCTCCATAGTATTCCTTTGAATTTTCCATACTAAAATTAATGACCTAAGGTCACCAGACTTATGTCTACATCCTCCTACAAATGGTAAATATATTAAAAAAACCTGATATTAATACAAACACATTGAAGTGTCCCACTGTTAATTTCCTTTCTTTGAGGAGTATCCATTCATTAATCCTGAATTTTGCTCCTGAGTCTATGGTCTGTTGTTCTCTTTAAAATCTTCAAGGGAAATGGACTGAAAACAATTACATTATGTCTAAGAGTTTGATTCAAGTCCCAAACCAGCAAAGCAGTTTATCGTGTGTTAAAGAATGCAAGTTGTACTTTGCCTAGAAAGACATATTGAGGAGCCTAAATTTAAGCCTGTGTTTTAATTCATGCTTTGTGACAAACAAAGATCTTATTTACATATTTAAATTGTATAATACTTACAACATTTAGCATTTTTATAGCATATTATACTTAAATGTCCCCATATCCTTTAAAGACAGAGAAAGATTAAGCTTTACACTATTCCTGAAAGACACACAAGCAGGGGTCTGGGTTTTCTGTGGAAAAAATGTGGATTTTCTCCTTTAAAGGAGAAAAACCCAGGAAACCATGGGTTTTCCCTTGCAGGCTGACAGAGCTCCAGCCTGCAAGGGGCTGCTTGGGGTTGGGGGCAGTGGGAGGAGGAGGATGAGAGGCAGGAGGTGCCATGTGCGTGTGCCCGCACACACATGCATGTGGCTGGTAATACAGCTAGGCAGCGTGGTGGAGAGCAGCTCCCAGCAGGTAAGTCCGTGGGGGGAAGGAGCACAGACAACACATGGAGGGCCACAGTGGGGACCATAACTTGTGGTGAGATTGAGAAGTGGTGGTGGCAGCTTGTGCTGAACCTGCACAATGAGGGAGGGAGTGGGGCAGGGTTGGCAGTTGGCAGCTGGGGGCACTGCCCAGCCCAGGAGGTGACTGGGGCCCAGGGCCTGGGCGGGAGCAGGAGGGAATGGATGGGGAGCAGGACAGAGCCATGGGCAGCTCATTCCCGGGTAGGGAGAGCTCCCCATTGCTACATGCACTTGCGGGGAGGAGTCAGGCCCACAGGCAACACATCAGAGAGTATTGGGGGGTGCACGTGCCCCCTGATTTCTGTGCCCACAGTGGGGCAAGGGACTACAGCCTGGCCAAATCAGCACTGGGCAGGGGCCACCTGCGTGGTCCAACAGGTGGGACCTGGCATGGGAGGGCAGAGCAGGGCAGAGAGGCTCTGCTCCTGCTGCCACCACTGCCACTGCAGCGGCGTGGAGTTGTGCCGCAGGCAGGGGGAGCCTCACCTTGGTGGCCATGGCAGTGCGGTGTTCCTGGCAGCAGCAGCAGTACCGAGCTTCCCTGCCTCACTCTGCCCTTCTACACCTGCTGGGCCAGCCCCATGCCCCGCTGTAGGCATAGAAATCTGTGGGGGCACATGCCCCCCATGTCTTTCTGACATGTTGCCTATGCCCTCATACTCTCTCCCTTACACACCTACCCCCTTCCTCATACACTGGGGGGTTGGAGCCTAGGGGCAGGGCACAGTGGGTCAGGAGTGAAGGGCACCAGCAGGACTGGGGGGTAGGTGGTTGTGGGTTGGGAATGAGGAGCAACAGCAGGGGTAGGGCACCACAAAGCAGTTGGGGGAAGGTGGGGGGGACACAACCCTAGCTTGTCTCGCATGCTGAGTGGTGTCTCGGAAAAATCCTAAGTATATGCTGCCAACACAAAAGTTCTGTACCTGACATGCGCAGCTGAAGTCTGTGAGTGGAAAGTTCCAAGGCTCACCCAGCTCGTGCCCCCTGGGTGACCTGCGGACCTGTCAGTCATGTTTGACCTACTTTCCCCACAGACGCATGCTCAGTGACAGCTAAAGCATGAGGTAATTTAACTAGAAATTTCTTCCCTGTGAGTGTTCTGATTGGCCACTAAATTCAGATAAAAGTTCTGTGAGCCCCTCCCTCGGGAGGGAGATCGCGTTAGCTGGAGACAGAGGCTGGTGTTCCAGGGACTGTCTTTCAGTCAGGCTTCTGGGCCTATTGATCTCCTCCCTCAATTGGCAATCCGTGTCACTTGCTGTTATTACATTGCTGTTTGGATTTCCTGGCTTCGACTTACTTTGGCATCGGCTATTGACATCGATTCAGATCGTTTCTCACCGGCTCTGGCTGGATCCTCGGTTCATCTCACCGGCTCCTGACTTCAGCTTTGGACACCATTTCGGCTCTTCGTTGTCCTTACTGGACTGGCGTCACATCGTTACAGTTCGTTATGTGTTACCAATTTATGAGCTGTTGACCAGCCCTAGGACTATCCAACAGGCAGCCACACCTACCTCGTCAGAGGTAGAAAGCAAGGGCTTGTTGGAGAACCCTGTGGGCCAACAGACCCCTTTGTTTGTTCACTGTAACTGAAGACATGGTTTCCTACGCATCTAAGCGTAAGTTAAATAAATTCCATCTTGTTTAAGGAACCAAAACGCTTCCTGTGCCACTCAGACTCCATCGCCAAAACTCCCACCTGTCGGTATCCAATTTGCCACCACCCGGCTGCACCACCGTGACCAACACCGCGAGCTTGGCTTGCCAGCTCCGGCTGACAAGTGGGAAGGGGGAGCTCTGATATTCCATGATAAATACATCAAAATCAAATGCCAAAATACATAGATATTTAGAATTTATTTTATTATGAATGAGGCAGTGGTAGACTTTCAAATTGCTTTAAAGTTGTAAATATATCACTAAAACATTATATTCAGCTGATAGCTGATATATATTGTGGTGTTTCATTTTAATCACATTAGATTGGATGACCACCTTACTGGGGTCATTTGACCCCAGTGCTCTTCCTGCCATGGCAGGGGGTTGGACTAGATGATCTGCTCAGGTCCCTTCCGACCCTAGAAACTATGAAACTATGAAAAATGCAGATTTGGGTGTTTTTAAAATCGGAGAATTTGGGATTTTTTTTTAACAGAGAAAACCAGGATTCTTGTACATAAGTAATGTTTCCTCCATTTTAACAAACTGAGGAAATGAGAACAGGTCTGAGGTGAAATAGCAAGTCAATTTGAGAAGTAAGAATTGATCTCCTGCCTACAGTTGTCCCTTTTATAATCATTATTCTTTGCTGTCTTTGAAACGCTGAGTTTGGCCAAGCTTTGTAAAGATAGAAGTTACAGTCTCCATGTAAATTGATCTTTCCTATTGATTATACTGCTTAGATTCATTTAATGAATTATTTCCTAACATCACAGAGAAGATGCAGATTTTCAATATGGATGTCAGACATTAGAGTGACTATTAAAGGAGATTTTCAATATGGATGTCAGGCATTAGAATGGCTATTAGAGGATGTTGGGGACGGGCCCCAAGGTCATGGTGGGCCGGGGTACGGATCGGATCAGGCGGGAGTAGCGGCGAGGAGTCAGAGCGGTTCGGGACACGTGTGGTTTCAAAACAGAATAGATTTTATTTTACTTACGCCACTGATGGTAATGTAGCGTAGGCAGAAGAGCTTGCTTGTTCAGTTACAGTGCGTAAACAAAAATAACTAAGGAGGTCTGTTGGTTCACGGGGATCCTGAGTCGAGCCCTTGCTTTCCAGCCCGGAGGCTAGGTGCAGCTGCCTGACTCAATAGTCCCAGAACTGGTCAACAGCTCATACAGGGGGAAACTGTAATGCACTTTCAGTTGGTGAAGAACAGACGAACCAGTGATGAACGAGGTACGATGAACAGTCGATGAAGAGAATGAAGAAGAAACACAGACGAGGCCGAGTCGGTAATGGTGTCGAAGATATGTGAACTGGGTCGTGAAGAACTAGTCGTAGTCAATGCCGGAACAAGGTTCAGTAACAGGTGATCAATATGAAGACGAAAGTTAGTTGAGGCAGAAGTATGCCGCGAATCCACAGTAGCGGGGAGACCAGCAGAGCTCTGGCAGACGAACCAGGGCTCTAGGCCTAAGAGGCTCTCCTAAAAGGCAGTCTCTGCAGTAGCAGTCTCTGCGCTCAGGTTGGGTCTGGTCTCTGCCGTGGGTGGAAACTTACAAGCCTTTTATATTAAACAGGTAGCCAATGAGGTAACCTTTTCTGTGGAAATTTCTAGTCAAATTATGTCATGCTTGGAGCAAGACTGGGCATGCGCATGGTAACAAGTCAGGTTACCTCATGGCAGAGCCATGATTGACAAGCCTGAGGTCGTACAGGGGGCACGTGCGGGGCATGCTTACTAGCCCTCTGGGGATTTTCCACTGGCTTGTCAGTGCTTGTCTACGCTTAACCCTGTGTTAGCCAGCATTCTTATTAAACTTGGTTGTGACAGAGGAGAACTGAATTTTCAGTATGGATGTCAGACATTAGAGTATTCAACTAATTGAAATCTTTCCCATGAACCAAATTTAAAGAACAAGTTTGTGCCATTTGCAGAAATGTATTCTGTGCCAATGCAAAACTGCCAGAGATGAGAGGACTAAGAAGCCAGAGCCACAGGAAATTTCATGGGAAAGTAGAGAGCAGATAGGGAGACAGGAATAGGAAAAGAGGAGGAGACTTGGCAGAAAGGAGATTAAGAAAAAAAGGGGGGCAAGGAAGCTAGAGGGGGATGTAAGCCACTAATTATGAACTGAAGAGGAACCTTCAGGCATCAGAAACTAGTCAGTGCCAAGCTCAACAGAAGCAAAGCAACACCAATTACTTGTGCCTTACCAGAGGCAAATCCACATTCAATCATACCACACTTATATCAACTCAAAGTTTTATGTCAGCTTAATCTTCCCCACCCACTAGCATATAAAAATATTTCTTAAGGGACTCTTTTCTCTTACTTATATTAAATCTGCATACTAGACATTTAATCACCTTTCAGAGTTTGAATTAGTAAATTTGGTCTCAGTTACACTGTAACATTATTTATGTTCCATGCTTTTAAGGGTATTCTGGAATCATGGCAGAAATTGAGAGACTTAGACAAATAGGCCATGTATAGATGCAACAAGAGGCACATGTGCATGACACTTTAAAGCGGGCTAAATGCTTTTGCACTGCTTTATTGGTGTTGGTGTTTGCATACCTCAGAGGCGTATTGCACGTTAATTCCAGCTGCTATAGGAAATTCGGCAGCATAATGCCCCTTAAATGACTTGGGGCACAGCAAACTAAAACTCCTTTGAGGAATTTTAGTTTGTTGCCCCTACAGCTGTGGAGCGAAGGACTGGGCTCTGTGCAGCTCCACGGCTCTTCAGGAAGCCCTGCAGGCAGCCTGGCAGCAGCCTGGGAAAGCAGGCTCCACCCCAGAAAAAGAGCGAGCTTGATCTTTTTCTCTCCCTCTGGAGCCTGCCTGCCCGAGCAGTGCTTTCCTTCACAGCCATGGTGGCCTCCCAGGGACCACCCAAGCTGGGTGCCTGCTGGGGGGGAGGGAAGCACCCCCCCTTCCCCCACTGCCCAGTGACCGCTCCACCTGCCGGAAACTCACCTACCCTCCCTGCCAGAGAGGCAGGTAAGTCAGTGGGGTGTGTGCATGACACGGGGGTTTAATCAGCTCTCAATTGAAGTGTTTTTTAAAACCCACCACTTCAAATGACAGGCCCCCATTTTGTCTACACACAGTAATAAACTCCAAAAATATCCAAACCTTACTTTTTTTTTTTTTTTGCATTGTTGACCATTTTTTGTGGCTGACATGTTGAACCTTATAGATTCTGATTGTGCCCTCATTTCTGAGGACACTGATCTAGGAAAAGGGCCAGTTCTTTATATAATTCCACGTAACAAAAATATTTTACCATTTTATTAAAGGTACATTTTGGCAATCTCTCTATAAACACACAAAAATGCCTTTTAAAAATGAGCTCTGTTTTTCTTGAAAAGAGACGTAACCAGGAAAAATTCAGTACTAAAATTGCAAATACTAAATGCTTAACTGATAAGCATTTTTGAAATACTAGCCAATTAGGGCCAAATTCTAAAATTATAGAGTCTTAGTGATGGCAGGAACCTTAAGAGTTATTTAATTTAACACCTGCACAAATTTAGGAGGCAGTATTCCTAACTATGCCAGACAAATAGTATACTTACCCACTCTTGAATACCTTCAATGAATAATATTCTACAGCGTTTTTAAGTAATTTATTCAATTGCCCTTATATTCAAACAGTATGAAAGGTTTTTCCTGATTTAATCTAAATTTGCTTCAGGATCATAGGAAAGTAGGGCTGGAATGGACATCATGAAGTCATCTATTCTAACCCCCTGCTCAGTGCAGGATCATCCCCGAGTAAACCATCTCAATCAAGTGTCTGTCCAACCTGACTGGACAGACTGGGTAATCTGTTCTAGTGCTTTAGTACCTTCCTAGTGAGAAAGTTCTTCCTAATATCTAACCTTAACTTTCTTTGCTGCAACTTTTCATTCAGTGGAAATTCTGAAATTTGAAAGTTATATAGGATTATATGGAAGGAGGGCTGGAACGGACCTCATAAGGTCATCTAGTCCAGCCTCCTGCTCAAACCGGGATCATCCCTGGCTAAACCATTCCAGCCAAGTGCCTGTCCAACCTACTCTTGAAAGTTTCCAAGCATAGAATTTCCACCACTTATCTAGGTAGCCTGTTTCAATACCTGACCACCCTCATAGTCAGAAAGTAGGGCTGTGCGAAATTTCGCTGGCTGTTTTGATTTGACACTGTTTCGACTCATTTTGACCTTGAAACAGCAAAATTGAATTGAAACAAAGGGCTTCAAAACAGCTTTGAAACAAAACAAGGCTAGTCGAAACGATTCAAAACATTTTGAGTTTCAAAGCAGCCAGCAGCCAGGTGCTGGGAGACACGGGAGAACCAGGGCTGTGCTCTCAGTGGCTCTGCAGCCCCATGTGGCTGAGTCAGGAGCACAGCCCTGGCTCTCCCCGCCTCCCGCGGCTGGGCTGCAGGAAGCCAATCACAGCACAGGGGAAGGGAACTGAGCCTAGGGCTCAGTTCCCCTCCCCAGCACTGCAATGGGAACTGAGCACAATCACTCAGTTCCCCTCCCCAGTGCTACTATCAGGCTGGGGAAAGGAACTCAGCCCAGCTGGGTTGAGTTCCTTTCCCCAGCCCAATCATAGCACTGGGGAGGGGAACTGAGCTATTGCGCTCAGTTCCCTTCCCCAGCTCTCCGGTCCCAGGTGGTCGCACCTGGCTTCCTTCCCTCATTTGGCAGGCAGATCAAGGGCCCAAAGCCCCGGGAGGACTGGCACGGCCAGTCGGATGAGAGAGGCTGTTTTGAGCTTCCCCATTACAGTGAATGGGCGAAACATCAAAACAGCGTTGAAATAGCATCATTGTTTCAACAAAGGGAAACAGAACAGCAGTTTCGAATCTAAATGAAATTCAAAATAAAAGACTGTTCTGTCAAAACCTTGACACACAAGTCGACATGGAACAGTGCCATTTCATACAGCCCTATCAGTAAGTTCCTTCCTCCTAATCTCCTACCTAAATTCCCCTCCTGTAGTTTAAGGCCATTGCTCCTAGTCCTGTCCTCTATAGCCACAAAGAAAAGTCCATTTCCACCCTCTCTATCAATCATCCTTCAGGTATTTGAAGACTGTTACCAAATCTCTCCTCAGTCTTCTCTTCTCCAGGCTCTCATTAGAATCAAGTCAAGATTAGGGAAATGTCTTATGAAACAAAGTTAATTAATTCTAAAGTCAAATAATAAATTCGATAAGGTGGTCTCATATTTACATAATAATTTTATTTTAGATAATGTAGCAATACATTAAAAAGGTTGAAACGTGCTTCAACTTTATTAAACAGAACATTTAAATAATTCTTTGATAGTTTATAGTTTCAGAGTTGTTAGGGTTGGAAGGGACCTATTAGGTCATTGAGTCCAACCCTCTGCCCTGGGCAGGAGCGAGTGTCGGGGTCAGATGACCCCAGCCAGGTGTTTGTCCAATCTCCTCTTAAATACCTCCAAGGAAAGAGACAGCACCACCTCTCTTAGAAGCTTACTCCATATTTTGACAACCCTCACTGTAAAGAATTTTTTCCTGGTCCAATCTGAATTTGCTCTCTTCCAGTTTGTGGCCATTATTTCTATTTACCCTGACAGGCACCCTGGTAAAAACTTTGTATCCCCTATTTCTTGCTGCCCCTCCTGATGAATTTGTAGGCAGCTATGAGATCACCTCTTGGCCTCCTCTTGCAGAGGCTGAAAAGATTCAGGGCTCCCAATCAGTCCACATAGGGTTTTTTCTGTAGGCCTTTAACCAAGCAAGTGGCCCTGCTCTGAACCCTCTCCAGGCCATCCACACATCCCTCCCCAAGTGCAGTGTCCAAAACTAGACACAGTACTCCAGCTGGGGCCTAACCAATGCCACATAGAGGGGAAGTATCACCTCCCTAGGCCTGTGATGCCCCTACTTATGCAAGAAAGGGTGCAGTTAGCTTTCCTTATTACCTCACCACACTGGTGACTGATGTTCATTTTGGAGTCGACTACGACTCCGAGATCCCTTTCTGTAGTTGTGCTATTTAAATTGGTCCCTCCCAGGCTATAGGAGTGTTGATGATTCTTCCTCCCCAGGTGCAACACATGACACTTATCCTTGTTAAGCTGCATCCTATTCTGTTCGGCCCATTTCCCCAGCCTGTCCAAATCAGCCTGGATTCACACCCTGCCATCTAGTTTGTGCACCTCCCCCCATAGTTTGGTGTCAGCAAACTTGGACAGGGTGCTTTCTACTCCCTTGTCTAAGTCACTAATGAAGATATTGAATAGTACCGGTCCCAGGACAGAGCCTTGGGGGACTCTGCTGCCCACATTCCTCCAGGTAGAAACCAACCCATCCATTACCACTCTCTGGGTGCATCCCATAAGCCAATTTTTTACCCACTGGACTGTGTAATAATTGTAACAAAGATCAATGTGTTCTGACAAATTTAGTTACAGTATTTAGAGCTTCCCCCCAAACCCTGCCCTGCAACTCCCAGCAAGCCCCACTTACCTGACATTACAGGCTTCAGAAGTGAACAGTGAACCTGAGCTGAGCCTTGAGACTGACAAAAAGCCTCAGGCCCCACCCTTCCCCTCCTCTCCCTCCTGCGCTGGACAGGGCTGGGGATTTCTTGCCCCTTTTGCAATTAGCTCTTGCAGGCTGGAACTGTACCAGGCTGCAGAGCTCTTTGCAAAAGCAGGAAATCTGCAGCTTTCTCTGCTAAAAGATAAAATCCATGTTTTCTCCTCTAAAAGTGGGAGATCTGTGGTTTTCTCCATTTTTTCTGTGGAAAATGGAAAACCCAGATCCCTGATTATCAGCCTGATCTCTGTAACCTCTTCGCAGAGCTGGTTTACCTTTTTCCACACACCCTTGGCATATGGACCTAGCTTTAGGAGGTGGTTGCTGGTTTCTGTTGTGCCTTGGCAGATTTCCCTGGGGCAGCATAGGTTTTTTTGGAAAAATATATTTCTATAAGTGTGTGCGTGTGCGTGTGTGTGTACATTCTCATTTTTTTTGGTAAAAGTGTGCGTCTCTCTTTCTGTATGTGTGTGTGTGTGTGTGTGTGTGTGTACACACACACACACACACACATATATACACACTCTGAGTATCACTCCAGACATAAAACCATAACCCATTACAAAAAAACTGCACCGGTGTAGCCTGCGCACCTATACAAAGGTCACCTGGACCCGTTAAAATATCCACACTGCATGCTATACACATGCAAACAAACTCTAGTCTCTCAGACCAGACACCCCTTCCTTCCATCCCCACTCCATTTGCAAGGTCACAGCCTCAGTTCACCCTTCATCCATGTTACTCATTGTTGTTCCAGCTCCTGCTGGAGAACCCACTACTGTTGTCACTGTCTCTGTCCTCAGTTCCATTTGTCTCTTCCTTTTCCTCACTACCACTGCCCCTTT